TGTTGTATCACTGTACAAGCTGGAGCTGCTCCATTGAGACAAAAGTTTTGAAACTCTCTCTGAACTTTTTATATCAAACCAAGCCTTAGATTTAGCAGCACTATCAATTCTAAAGCGGAAAATTGTCTGGGGTGCTGTCACAGCCATTATTTATCCCGTGTTTTGCAGTGATTCCTCTGCAGATCTGTCTGACATCACAAATTAGAAGGCGATGAAAACGTTACTTTCGTACTAGACTGATGGAGATAGGATTCACTATTTGCTAAGTCAGAGCAAACTATCTTGAGGCTATGAAATAACTTATTCCAAAGTTAAGTATGCCGTGCCACTTAATTAAAGCAGCCCTTTCTTGTCTCATGACATTTGTGGTACTTATCAATTACTGCCTGCAAAAAGGAAAATACACTGTGCTGTATTTTCAAAAATGTACATAGAAAAATGTATGATATTCTAGACATTTATTATTATTATCATGCAATGAACCTTCAACCATCTCTGACCAATGTCAATGAACTGTTGAGCCACAGCCAAAACACTTTTAAATTTGCAACTCTGGACCTGTAGTTTAACCTGCAGCGTTATCAGCAATCAAAGTGGAAGCAATTGTAGCATCTGCCACTTTCTTGCCTTGCTGTTACTTTCCTTTCTTTAGGTAGTGCAGGTTTGCACTATCCTGGTTCCAGTGGAAGATTTTCTCTGCAATTCAAATACAGGTTTAATGCTAACTGACAACTGTTGGTCTGGTTGGAAAAGAACCAAGTAAGGTGTTAGTGACTGTAGCTCGGTAAAAATGAACCGATCTGCGACTAGTGCTGTTTTCCAATGACACCAGCAGGACTAACTGTGCCTGTGAATATCAAGTCCTTCAGAAATAACTAACATGATTTCAGATACCAAAAACCAAATAATGAAGTCAGTGAACTATAGTGTGGAGTTAATATTGTCCCCTTGAAGAGAACTGACATCTTGCTAAATGAGGGAGTTTGTGAGTAAGGCACAAACCGCCTCCCTGAGCTGCTTCTCATCTCAAAAACAAATTCACAATAAAGTAAAAGGCTGCTAATGTGTTATAACAGGTTCTATAAAATATGACACTCATTGTGGCAGTCTAAGCTCTAATAGGTGGGGGGGGTCTGGTGCACATCAAGTAACCAAAACACCACGACAAATCAGTTCTTAATGCTTTGTGTCTGTCTCTGAAGCATCTGAAGAAATAAATCAATTACATTGACCGAGGGTAAGAGGTTTTTTGTTATTGTTGTTGCTTTATTTTTTACATGAATACATTACAGAGAGATTGTTTTGTTTTGTTTTGCCCATGAGTGATGAACTCACCCTCGCCTTATTTGTTCTTGCCACTGTCACCTACCTCCCACCTTCTCTCCCTTTACCTTCTCTCTGCACCGCCTCCAAAACAACCCAAACCCCGTCTCCTTTCCACTTCCGCTCTTTCCATTATCTTCTCCCACCTCCAGCCCTGAAAGATGACCGTTTCCAGATGGTGCTCTTCACGCCACGGCTTGTGCGCATCACGTTGACCAATGTCAGCGTGTCGGATGAGGGTGGCTACTTCTGCCAGCTCTACACGGATGCCACGCACCACCAGGTGGCAACACTCTCTGTTGTGGTGCTCCCCGAAACGCCCATGGTGGAAGTGAAACAGGACGCCGTGGAGGGCGGTGAAGTGGAGCTTACCTGTGTGTCAGCACGTAGCAAACCGGCTGCCACCCTGCGCTGGTTCCGTAATGGCCGGGAGATACAAGGTACCAGGAAATGGCTGACAGTTTGACTGATGGATGGTTAGGCCACTATCAAGATTCAGTGGGGAAAATGATGAGGAAATATAGGGCAAGGGGAATGGAATGGGAGGATAATATACCATACTAAGTGCTGAATAAAATGAGGATAAATGAACGAGTGTATGATAGAGTGACAAAGGGAATAGCGGATATCAGTTAATGGGAACAGGTAAAGATGGATGGTTGGATAAATAAGTGGAGAGAATGAAGGTTTTGGCTAGAGGGCTCCAGAACTCTCCCCTCTTCTCCTGTTTCATTCATTTTGTTCAGCTGTTCTTTGAAATATTAATAGCCAACAATCTAGTTTCAAATGCTCAAACACACTTCTTGAAGAGTAATACATTTTTCCTTTACCATTCCTGTGAGGAATTCATTTGTCAAGTGTATATCTGTGTGTGTTGATATATGTGTTGAGAAGACGGACATTAGAAGCAAGTATTAGAATGATTTCAGTGCTTTTTTCTTTCCAGTGCACCCATTAGTCAAAGCTTTTGCTATCAACATGGAGACACTTCTCCTCCTCTCTGTGTATCTCTTTCCTTATGCTCTGTCTTGAAAATGTTTAATTCCGATAAGCCTGATTTGTACGTACTCGGACAACTACAGCATTACATGAAAGCATAGATGCTACATGTGCTCCAGACTTTCCGTGTTTCCCCCTTGACCTCTCTTTCACACACATTTTAATTTCCCATCCCCTAAACTCTCCAATCTACGTCCTTGCTTCTGATAAATCTATGAACTATCTATCAGTTTCCTTGATCTCTTTTTCTTTATAACTCACTGTCTCCCTCATCAGCTTTCAGTTAAAGGGGCACTTCACTCAATAATACATCTGAGACCTGTCTTTCCATTGCCTTCAGTCTATTTAACCTGTAAGAAATCCTTCTTTTTGCACTGTTGTGTATAATGTTATATTGTAGTTTGATTTCCTCCAAAACCTTGTTCAGTTGACTATGTACAAGAGAAAGAAGAACCAAACATGGAGACTTAGCTGTGCTAAACATCTGTCACTGAGGATTATGGGTTAGTTGTTGTTTTTTTTACTATTCCTTACAGACAACATTTTGGTGCCTTCAAATGATTCACACAGGCCAGAGAAATAATGTAAGATAATCTGATGTCAGTAGTTTTCGGTACATGTATCAAGTAATGTTTTGCCCTTTCAAACTTCATGTCAGCCATCAGCTCATTCACTTTCTATTTCTGTCTGACACTCTAGCGTCTCTTTCATCCAGTGTCTTCCCTTGAACGTGCCTGTCACTTTCATTCTGTCTCTCCTCTCTCTGTCCTTCCCTTCTACTCCTTCCCTTTCTTTTCATCTGTGTTCCCTTTCCTTTTTCTTTACATTTCACTGCTGACAAAGATGATGCTTCTCCGCTTCGTTACTGGTTTCAAAGCACCACACTTTTGTCTCTCATCTCATGTTGTTTCCTCTTATCTTCTCTTCCCTTCTGTTGTCCAGCCCCACCTCAGTTTTCCTCCAGCCTCCCCATATTCTCTACTCACCTCTCCTTTTCTTTCTTCTCATTTCCTCTTCCCCTCCTTTTCCACCCCCTCTTCTCTTGTTTCGTCTACTCTCCTGTTATCTCCACTTTTTTCCAACCCTTTCCTGCTGTTTCCTCTTCTCTCCTCTCCCCTTATCTCCTCTTTTTCTAGCTTTTCCTTCTGTTTTTTCTCCTTTCCTCTCTTCCTCTGTCTTTTGGCCCTGAGTTAAATGAACTGTGGCACTAAAGGTTAGAGGCAGATCCCAATAGATATCGAGAAGCACTCTTTAATTAAAACACTATCTTCTTATACCATTCCTTAATTCCTGCTCATCTGCACCCACCATCATCCTTTCTCCTGCTTCGATCGGACCTGCTTTTATTTGCTCACCAGTAATAAAGGAAAACTCAGCACGATATAAGTAATACTGTTGTATTCTGCCTCAACAAGCGCAAACTCCTAATATGTAACCATGTCAAGATCCATTAGTTTGACTCTCCCTCTTCTGTCATTCCTCCTCCTCTCCGCTCACATCTTTCTTCTACTCTGCATCTGACTTGACACTCTTATCATCCTCTTTCATGTCTGGGCTCGTCTTGCCATGATGCCCGTTTTGCTGTCCTCTCTTTCGGTCTGTGAGTACCTCTCTCCTTTGCTTTTTCTTTTTTGTCACCCTGTTCTTTTGATACCCCCAACACACACACACACACACACACACACACACACACACACACCACACACTGTCCCTGGCTAAGTTAAAATATCAGTTTGGTTATTCATATTCTCTTTTTTATCCCTTCCTCTCTTGTGCTCACACAAAGCACACAGCTGATTTACCATCTGCATACAAACAGTTTTTTCTGCTCATAATTGCCATGAAATATAGATGCAAATTACTTTCACTCTCTTTCTCTTATTTTGTCTTCCAGTCACGTACTGTCCCCTCTACAGGTACCTGCTGCTGCTCTAAAAAACTCATTCATCAGTCACTAACTTCTTCTTCCTTTCAGTCTGCTCACTTCTTCTGTCCTCCTCTATGTTCTCCTCTAAAAGTTGCCCACCTTAGGTGTGATGGCTCAGCATGGAGAAGGGAAGAGCAAGCGTGTTTTGGCTGCTAACTTGTTTCAGGTATCACAGCTGTCTTCTTTCCTTTCATCATCTCAACCTCTCTGTTTCCTCCGCTGATCTCCAGGTGAGGTATCCCAGGAGGACAACGGGAAGACATTCAGCGTATCCAGAACCATCCGGATCCCGGTAGAAAGGAAAGACAACGGGGCAGCGTTGAGCTGTGAAGCATCCCACCCATCACTGGGTGGGCAGAAGAGGGTTCGACACTACCGCCTGGATGTGAATTGTAAGCTTCTCCTCCGAGCCAAATGTGTGTGTGTGTGTTTACTTTCTATCAAAGTGCTTTCTATCCATCTTGCAAACAAATTAAGCAGCATTATGTTGATTGCCGAATAATTCAAAACAGATGATTTCATTGGTATTGCTGTCACTTAAGTTGCTTCTTCAGTACTGTTCATCATTATGTTTTACCTTAATCCCAGTAGGAATGTTGTCAGGGTAGCAGCCTCATTTTTCAAATGGTGGATATCTCATTTTAGAATGAAGCTCATTTATACAAAGTCCAGAATTTTAAGTGAGTGAGCAGCCCTGCATGAGACCTGCTCTCATTAAAGCCTAATACATAGAGATCTTATCATGCAGAGAACTGCCAGAAAATGAAATGCAGCCAGGTTTGGGTCCTGGCCTGTGGTTTAAGGAACTAACCGTCATCATCTGAAAATACCTGAGTACATTAATATGTGCAGTGATTCCATTAGTTTTAGCATTAATTGATCTTTGATATCTTATTTGTACAAGTTACACTGAAATTTCAGCACATATCTGTTCAAAGGAGGCAAAGAGTTCAATTAATAAATGAAATTTAAATTTCTAAAAGGCTTAATCTTAATATTCACTCCAGGCAATAACTTCAGATACTGTAGAACTATATTTTTATTTCAAGATGAATTCTCAATATTTTTCACAGATGGTAATGTTGTGACTGCCAGACAGCTAAGTCTAAAATTTATAATTTACACTTTGTAAAATGTAAATACATTTTGCTTACTGATATTAAACTGCAGTTGTGACTTTTAATGAGGATGAATTAAACTCTCAATTTCTTACAGTTCAGTGGGATTATTATTTTGATTCTATTTGGCAAATAGTTAGTTCAGAAAAACAAAATAATATCAGAAACACATCAACTGAGGCATGGGATTTTCAGTGTTTTGTTGATACATACAAACAAATTATATTCCCTGCCAGTAGATGCTACAAGTACATACTACATACTTAATTTGCTCCTCCAGTGTTACTATGATGTTATTCAACAAGTCAACCAATATTCAATTACTCCATTTGTTCTCTCCTCATGTCAGCATTACTGACAGTTCAGTAGGACTCTTATCTCACAATATATGAATCATTTTGGATAGTCAAACATTCAGCAGGTATATATAAATATTTACAGTTGGTGATATGATTCATAATCAGCAAGTACTACAGCATCAGTCTTTGGGTCCAGTTCATTTGCCACATATACAGTATATTAATGTTTGCTGAGGATATGCATGATTAATATTAAACAGTTTTGTTAACCAGGACACACCTGGTGGTTTCTCCAGCCAGAGAACAGGCAATAATGACCAACTGTCAGTGTGGATTTGGCTACCCATCGCTCTGTTGCTGAAGTAAGTGCAGTACAGCAGCTGCTGGAGCGGTGGGCTGCTTATAATAACAGGTGTCTCAATCGTAGGATTGTCTGCTGGTTACCTTGGCAACAGATGTTAAAGACCCTTCTTCGTGCCACATTTCCCTTGTTCCTCATTTTTGTTCCCCCTCTTCTTGTCTGTCTATGACTGCAGTTCCATTTTGATCCTGTTTGTTTTGTGCTGTGCTTTGCTTGTTTTCTGTCTCACTCATACATACTCATGTATCAAACCCCATCCTTTTTTTTTTCTTTTTTTACAGTCGCACCTACAGTGAGAATTGTTCCTCCTCCTGGCATTTTGCGAGAGGGTGATTCACTCAGCCTCACCTGCTCCATCACTGGGAACCCTCTGTGAGTCTCTGTCTGCTAAATAGTTTAGTGTTGGTCTCAGCTGTCTTTAGTAAATGCAGTCTACTTATGCACATAACAAACACTATAAATAAACCCTGTTGCTGTAGAATCTGATAATATGCTTTGTCACATATCAACATATCAAGTTCACTATGTCACTGACCTTTGTTGTCCTTTAATATGTGAATGGACACTGTTTTGCTAATATAAGTAATATTTGAGTATTTGATTTGAATATTTGAAAGAAAGATTCTTTCGTAGTCAACATAGCACATTTAAATAAGTAGTTGAATCATTCGGCTTCACATTCCACAAGATATGAAACTGGCAGGTGTACCAGCTGGCACCAGATTTGCACAAATCGATATTATGGAAGAACAAATAAGTCAGTTTTGGCAAATTGCTTTGGGCTGCTATGAAAATGAAATTTTTGTTCTAACATCACCAAACAGTGTGTTGCTACAAGCCTAAAGGGCTTTACTTTCAGTCTGGCAGTCTTTAGTTAACACATTTACCCAGAGTGTATTTTCTCAGTCTAAGTGTAGAATAAGCTTGAATTCAGCAACCTGGAATGATTGTATTAGTCACAGCCAAAGGTCTCCATCACTGTGACTGAAGAATGGAGCAAGTAGTTTAGCAATTGAACAAATGAGGTTGGTAAATGACTGGTCAAGCCTCTTTTGATTTTCTTAAAGGTAGGTAGGTAGGTGGGTAGGTATCTACTTTATTGATCCCTCAATGGGGAAATTTCAGTGTTTCAGCAGCAATAGAGAACAAACAACATAACACCATGAGAAACAAACACCACACACACATCCTGATAAATAAATTCCAAGTACTCAAAAATAGACAGAATCAAGTATTTGAATAATCAAGAACAGAATTTACATATGTCCATATTAACCATGCATTTTACCTCAGGATTTGAGTATTGCACCTCAGTTGACTATTACATAGTCCCTCATACTTTCACCTAGCTTATCCCTGCAGTGATGTATTGTACAGTCTGATAGCTGTGGGGAGGAACGACCTGCGGTAACGCTCCTTCTTACACTGGGGATGTAACAGTCTTGCGCTAAAGGAACTGTTCAGAGCCACCCCTGTGTGGTGCAGGGGATGGGAGGGGTCGTGCATGATGGATGTTAGTTTTACCAGAATCCTTCTGTCCACCACCTCCTCGATGGAGTCTAGGCAGCCCAGGACAGACCCAGCTATCTTGACCAGCTTGTTGAGTCTCTTTCTGTCCCTGTCCGTGCTACCTCCCGCCCAGCCCACAACAGCGTAAAAAACAGCAGATGCAACCACAGAATCATAAAAAGTCTGAAGGAGTGCGCCCCGCACACCAAAGGACCTCAGTCTCCTCAACAAGTGGAGGCGGCTCTGGCCCTTCTTGTACAGGGCATCAGTGTTTTCAGTCCAATCCATTTTGTTGTTGAGGTGGACCCCCAAGTATTTAAAGGTGTCCACAATCTCAATGACTGAGCCCTGAAAGCTCACCGGAGTGAGTGCTGGTGATTTCCGCCGGGGATCAATCACCATCTCTTTAGTCTTGCTCAGGACCATGAAAATGTTTGATAATAACAATGTAAGTTTGAAAGAGTTTATACAGTTTTTATTTTTTACATGAGTCTCAATACACAAATGAACAGAATCAGTAACCAGTTGGTTAGTTGTGCTACTAAAAGATTGTTTGCCTGATGTCTGATACATGAATCAAACAGGTGATGATTTTACAGAGATTGCTTTCCTGAAATATATTCTTCTCATTCATATTAGCTATTGTGTAAATGGCCCTGAGTAACCTCTGCCTGCTCCACTGGCCTTAGTAGAAAACAGTGGTTATACTTGGTTGTTACCGAATGCATGAGAGTAAAGTGCATTGTAACTGAAAGGAGAACACACAGACAGGTGACAAATTAAAGGAAAAACCGACATAAGATGTTGTACCACCATGTGCCACCAGAACAGCTTCAGTGCACCTTGGCATGGATTTGACAAGTCTCTGAACTCTCCTGGGGGGATGAACACCATTCTTCTAAAAGATATTCCCTCATTTGATGTTTTGATGATTGTGGTGGAGACACTGTCCAACCTGTTGGTCCAGAATCTCCCATAGGTGTTCAACTGGGTTGAGACCTGGTGACAGTGAAGGTCATAGCATATGACACACATAATTTTCTTACTCATTAGATCATTCAGTGACTCCTCATGCCCTGTGGATGGGGGCACTGTCACCATGGAAGAGACACATTTATTTGTCAGCTATCTCTATGTGTTTTATCTGCCCCAGTACAGTTTCCAGAAAAAGAAAATGGCTGAAATCCCCAAGTGGCTTAAAATAGATGCATAGATAAACAGGAGCTTCACCCTTATGTTTGTCTAACACACATAATTTTCTCTTTATTATGTGTTTTTGAATAAACATTAAGGTTCATGCTTGCTATATAATTACTATCCCACATAATTCCAGTGTTCTTCATTGAAATCTTCAAATAATTACAAAGTACTTCTAATCTCCACCAACTTCAGTATATTTCCTCCAACACTTATTACAAATGAAAGTCACTTTTGTATCAACTCCTTTCTAGAAAATTGTTTTGAAATAGACTATCATTAAGTTGGTAGGATTAGTGATTAAGACCACATGTCCTCGACAAATGATGCAGATCCTCTTTGGGCCAATCAACTGCAAATACATCATCCCATTAACTATAATTGAGGTTAAACCAGATGTGTCTAATTTATGACATAAATTTACAATATTACAAATGTCTTCAAACCAGTCAGGGTATATACACTGTGCCAATGAAGTTCTGTGCTTGATCAAAACCATTTAATATTTGAAGGATGGATAAAAACCACCATATTTTATTTTATTGAAGGCTAATAAGAAACAGCTTAAGACTTGAGTTGGAAAGATTATTAAAAGGGTGTAAAAGGATACCACAGATTCAGTGTAAATGTAGAAATATAAAGTTGTATGTGGCTTGTGTGAGGACAGAGCTTCTAAACTCAATCAGCCATCAACACTTTTTAGAGCCAGCTTTGAAACAAAACCTTTTCCTGGTGTGTTCACAGCCCTTTGTGAACTTTCCAGAAGAGTATTGGGTCCAAAGCTCTTAAAACCTCCCCTAGCTAGTCCGTCTGTCTCGGGGCATCAGGATTGTTAAAGCTCCCAAGCAAAGTTTCACGCAGCCAAATTGTGTGCATGCATGTTTGTCTTGTGTGTGTTTGTGTGCACATGTGTGTAATGACTTTAGAGAAATCCTACAGTGAGTACTAGCTGAGAAGTGTATTGGCTACAGCCCCACTAAAGCTTTGTAATGGCTGGGTGGGGACCCGGTGTGCATTTGTGTGCTATGCGTGCACACGTATTCGACAGTGAGGGATAGGACAGCATGTAATTCTGGACTCTGACCCTCATCTCACGCTGGACTGCACACGCGCACACAGTCAAATACTGCAGTCCCCTTGTCACCCTCTTGCCTGCTCCATGACCATGTTAACTGCCTGTTAAGCGTTAATGACCAATTATGTGCCGCTTCCTTTTGGCGGAGGGGTACACTCATTGCCTGGAGGAGAGATGGAGACGATGTCTTGTCATTTCGCTTGATTGCCTACTTATTTGCATGTTAGCATTTGAAAGAATTACTGTGTATGTGTTTGTGTTAGAGGGAGAGGAACAGAGAGGGATTTTGATTGTGCAGAAATGAGTTTGTGTGTGTATGTGTGCATGCGTGTGTGACTAATCAAGAAAGAGGTTTAATTAGACTTCCTGGGGGATTAGAACCCAGATGAGTCAGGATTGTAATCTGGCCAGGGTGGCATGAGCCATGACACTCACACACATATACAACCAGCCTTGTTCACCGGGGTGTCTCTGTAAACCTTGCACCTCCTGCCTGCTCTGCCCGCCTGTCTTTCATGACCAATTTATTTCATCTACCCAATCCATATCCTCATTTCCCCTCACACTATTCCTTCTTCTCTGTCCTTCCTCTGCCTGTACTAACTCTTTCTTCAACCACACTTTTGACCTGTCTTTCCTTCTTCTTTTCTACTTTACACATCTGACACCCTATTTCTCTCTCATCTGTCCACCTCTCCCTCCTGCCAGGCCTTTTATACCATCACTACCCTCTGACCATCCATCTCATTATTTGTCAAGATGCAGCGCTTTTTTGCAATTGGCTCCATCTCTAAGCTCCTTTTATATTTTCTTCTTTGTGGGTTTCTTTGCCCTCTTTTTTGCCTCTTTTTTTACAGCTTCCCCAAGTGTCTGTGCTTCGATCCTCTTTTTCATTTTTAAAACTTGTTTCACATTTTACAAAATGTGTTTAAGAATACAAGTATTAGCAGTTGTAGAGAGGTAGTTGTTGTGTGGTTGTTGGTGTTGGGCAAGTTACTTGAAAAATGTAATCATTACTTTGTTAGTTACTCAATAACAACAAAAGTAATAAGTTACATTACTCTTTGCTTTGTTATCAATACTCGGTCCAGCTCAGTCAAAGGTGACTTTTAACGACTTCAAATCCTGTGCATCTACATATTCCGTCATCTAACAGGTGTCGAAACTGAAAACAAGTCTATGCATTAACAAGATATCCACAGACCACCAACAGCTGAACAGATCGTGCTTGTGTGGTAGGGCTGCAGGTTCACACACTCGAAACAATTCCTGTGCTTAAGTGCAGCTGACATCAGCAAGGAAGCTACGTGAAAAATGTATATTTAAAGACACACCATGTCAATTTTTTACATTTGAAACTTTGGCATTATCAGGAATTCTCCACTTATAGTAGAGGCAATGCCCCCTGTGCCAAGCAAACATGGTCCTCACTTGTCAATATTTCAACAAGACAATGCAAAACTTCATACTGTGCACATTACCAAGGCATGGCTGCAGAGGAAAAGGGTGTGGGGGCTGGACTGGCCCACCTACAGTCCCAGCCTGTCCCCAGTAGAGAATGTGTGGTGCATTTTGAAATGCAATTTGCATCAATGAAGACCCAGAACTGTTGTGCCCCTTAAAACTTGTTTACAGGAAGAATAGGACAAAGTACAAGTAATTTACTGACCTTTTTTTTTATTTTTGCTTATTTGAAGTTGCTATAAATAACCAAAAAGGTCATTCACTGTCTCTCAGAGCCCAAGGTGATGTCAGCACATTACTCGTTTCGCTTGAACAGCCCAAAACCCAAAAATTACTCTATTAACTGAGATATAAAATGGAGAAAAAACAGTACATCCTCACATTAAAGATAGTCGAATAAGCGAGTGTTTGGCCCTTTTCTTTGATAACTGACTTAACCAATTAATTGATTATCAAAAAACAGTTCTGTTTGTGCCAACTGACCAGTCAATCAAACAGCATATCATTTCAGCATCAAACACTGAACCCTCTCACTCTCCTTCCACTAGGCCCAGGAACATTCAGTGGTCTAAGATTAATGACAGCTTACCTGAGAGGGCAGAGATTTCTGGCCCAACCCTCCAGATTTCCCGTCTCAGCCAGTCACACAACGGGACATACCTGTGCCAGGCCCAGAACAACTATGGACGCGCTGCCGATCATTACACCCTATTAGTGTATGGTGAGTAATCACAGCTAAAAGTTTTCTTAGAATTTCTACAAGTACTTTTTAAAGTTTGCTCCAGTGATTCTTTTTCTCCGTTGTCTTTATTTCCAATCTTGGGCAATTGTTAACTGTTCAGAATCATTTTTTGTTCAAAGGATCCTTAGTTTGTTAAATTTCTTGTTCTTGTGTTTTGATAATCCCTTAACTTTTATTGATCCTTTTTATCTTCCCAGTGTCTTTAGAGTCTGACTGCTCTGGCACTGTGCAAGAGATCCATTAAATCCTGATGGTTGTCTCATCTGTCTTTCAGCTTGATTTGTTTTCCTGATTCTGTACACAGCAGGAAACCTCTGCTAAACCTCCTGTGTAATTGATTCAACAGAGATATTGATCCTGCAAGAAGACAGTGGCTACTGTGTTGAGATAGTAGTCACCGACATCATTCCTCAGGCTTTCTCTTGTAAAGAACCAATTTATCTGGTCTCTTGTGACTCACTCCTCTAAACAAGAAATTCAGAATAACTTATATAAGTCCATTAAAGATGTTTTGACAACTAAATGAATTTCACAGTACAAGATGGCACATAGGAGACAGACAACAAAAGGTAACAGAGTACAAAGTATTGATGCAATGCTGAATCTGCTGGAACTCTGAATTTTACATTGGCAAAAAATTACATGAGAACATTTAGGGATTTCAAAATTCAGGCAACTCGACTTTGCTTGTTGATGAAGTAGAAATATCAGATCAGAAGGAAATTGTGGATTAGGGGCTTTTGTTGTTAGGTTTTACAAGTTTTTCAGCTTCATCTGCATCTAGATTCACTGGTGTGGCTAAATTCTTCATGAACGCTGACCCAGATAGACTGCACCCCTGCTCAAAGACGGTGATGATGGTGGAGCTTACAACATCGCATGAAAATCTTGTATCACCATATTTTTCAGGAAATGTGACAAATTGGCAACTTTCCCTTTGAGTTTGAGGCACATTTGAAAACAAGGTTTTCATGTTTGTAGTACTATGTAATCCACACATTTAGCAGTTGAGTACACTTGCAGTCAATTAAGGAAAAAATAGGAAGAGTGAGGTTTTTTTTAAGGGACAGCAGCAAAACTAAATTGCAAAACTAGAACATCATTAGAGGCTGTTATTTTCACCTTCAGTACATTTGTGATTTGGTGTAATTGCATGCACACTACTGTCACTCAGCATGTTTGGCCTTTTGATATACAACCCCCTTCTGGCATTTCCTGTCATCGCTCCCCACCACATGATTTGGAGATTAGAAGCAGAGGGAAGGATGGAGCAAATAGAGACATGATATCTTATGTAACATTTTTAGGTTGTTTTTGGTTAACACCCCCTCATCCATCACACCAAAGCTCACTTTCGCTCTCGCACACACACAACTAACAATTGCACACTCTTGTACAAGCACGTCTAGCATCAAACGGCACACATAATGGCAGCTTTCCACAGGCATCAAGGGTGGCAACAGTGGCAAGATGAAAGGTGGCATCCCCACCCACTTTCCCCTTTCTCTATCCCACTCTATCTCCTTCTATCCTAGAAGGTTAGACATGTCGAGCTTTGATGTGCGTTGCCACCTCTAGAAAAATGTTATATCTTGTTCTGTCCTCCTCAGCCTCTTCCCTCACCATTCTAGCTGTCACATTCATTTTTTAGCTGTGCCATTTCTTCTTTCTTACATGTCATCATGTTTTCTTTATTTCATGAGACTGCTCTGCTCTGGTCATTCATTGGATTTATTTTACTTTTTGCACCAAAAGTGGTACATTTAAAATAAAGAATCTTGCCTTGACAGAAAACCATAAAAGGCCAGAAATCCACATAATCAGCATAAGCCAAGCTTCAGCTTCTCTCCACTGCACCACAGATTTCCAGCAATCAGCTTCTTAAATCCTCCTGCTCTAGTCTCGTATCAGTGATGGTTTGCTGTACTTCAAAAAAATATGTGCTCGCCCATTGGGCAGATTGTTTCAAACCTTATCTCAAAGAGCTCAGAGTTGCTTATTCAGCCATCATATTAATCTGTAGATGACAGGAAGTCACTCTTGATTTTCCTGTAAGTCACTAATAATCTGGTTAACTTGGAGTTAATTTCTTGATAAATATCAAGTTAACACTTTGCATTCAGGCTCTAATCGTTTCATTGATATGTGTGTCTTTGTAAATGTAAAATAACTACCAAACAGCCTGTTTGCTGTTCATCACTGCTGATGCAAATTAACCACTATGGATGACTTAATGTAGTGTAAGTGAAGTGCTACCTTCTGATGATTAAATATGAAGTTCATCAGTCAGTGTTGAATATAAAAACGATTCTACAATGTAAATGTAGAATGATATGTTTAGATGACTGATAACTCTAACAATTACACACATTGTGCTTTATTTTCATTACAGCATCCACATTGTTTTAGTAGGTGTCTTATTCTTTTCTTTTTTCAAATAGTGATTACCTCATTTTGTACCACTTTTCACTTATTCCTATAAGACTTTAGTAATAGAGAAAGGTACACTCTAATTCCACTCTCGCTCCTCTTCTTGTGCCTTACTGTATCATTCTCCTGGAGCTATTTTTGTTTTCACTCAGTTATTCCAACCTCTCTATCTCTCTTTTTCTTACAACCTCTCTTCCATCTTTTCAGTTACTCTCTGTCCTCTGTTGCCTCTTTTCCCATACCTTTCCTCAACATCCTTTTTTTCTTTTACTCTCCTCACTGTTCTCACCTCTTTTATACCTCCTGCAAACTTCCTCCCTCCTCACCCACTCCTCCCATACCTTTCAACCTTTTCTCACCTTGCCACCACTTTGCCCTGTATTTGCAGTTCAAGTACACTTCAGTCTCCTTACTCAAAGAGGGCCTATAGCTTTATGGAAAAAGGAACAGAGACGTCAGAGTGAGGAGTTGGTGAGAGATGGATATATGGAGGCAAGTGATGGTGAGATGAAACAGTGGAGAAGAAGGACAGAGGAGGTCAAATACAGGTTAACTGTCAGTATCACAGTCTGTCAAATAAATGAAATGTCAGTTTAGTCGGCTGCTAGCCTGCCCTGAGGGAATCCCACAGTCCACTGGCGGAGGAAGCAGGGGCAAGGAGGGAGCACTGGAGGATATGTATTGCAAAGGATGAGTCAGCGGAAAAGAATTACAGTTGTAACTAAACTACCAGTGCTCTCTCTTCCTCTCATTTCATGTCTAGCTTCCCACTGTGAGAGTTATCTGCTATCGGGGTCTGTACACTGAGCACAAACTCAGGCAAAAGTTGCTTCCAATTTGTCTCAGGTGCTTCAGGCTGTGTCACTTTATGAAGGGAGATGGGCTTAATGTGGGTGAAGGAGGAAGAACAGTGAGCAAGAGGTGGGAAACTCTCCAGGGAGCCCACACTCTGGCAAAGACGTGATGCATGGAAGCTGAGCTTCATTTGACTGTTATCTCTGTGTGCAAGTGAGTACATGCATGGGTTCTAATGTGTTTATGATTTAGAGAAAGAGATTTTTCTAAGTAGTGTTCATGTATGCACACAAGTTAATACAATTAAATTACTTTCCACAATTTTCTGAAAGGTACTAATGATATAAATGTGAGAAATAGTTTTGAATGAATCACAGAGCACACACACTCATACACATTCATACACATTACACCCACACACAGCAAGTATCTGCAAAAAGCAAAAAGGATGTGGCCTCTGTTGGTTGTTTTGTCTCTGTGCCACCATTGTTAAGGAGAAATTGGATTTTTTTTTTATGTGTGTGTATATTCAAAGGTGCACGTGAATGCGTGTGCATGTGACTAGGGGAAAATCTTGTTGATTGTCTGGTGAAAGCCCAGAGGGCTCCCTTATGTAATTGAACTGAGCTGCTACACTCAGATGAATCGGCAAGCCAATAAAACCCATTACGATTGAATTGCATGAGAGAGTGTGGGAGAGGCAGAGAGAGAGAGGTAGTGATGAGCAGATAAGAATTGCTACTGTTTGACTGTTTGCATATGTATAACTCTTTTATGCACAAGTATTTGATTGTAAGTCCATATATCTGCAAATGGAGTAGGAAGTGAGCACTTTGGGGAGGGTCAGGAGTCTGTAGAAAACTTCACAGAGAGCAGACGGGAGTGATAGAAATATTAAAGAACATGCACATGCTGTAGTGGGATACTAGGTGACCAGGGCTTAGTCTGTGTCTTCTCAGCTATTGTAATGAGCTGTCAGGATAACTGGACTGAAAAACAGACTCCATTTAATGAAGTGCGACTTTCAAAAAACATAGAATGAGAATGAAAATGGGAACAGGTTGAGGTCTAGGGGCAGAGGAAGCCATACAGAGATAATACAGAATTTGTTTCACCTGAAAACAGTTGTCTTCAGTGCTGATTTCCTCCATAAAACAAAGCACCTCTATTGTATCCTGAGTAAATTGTGGAGGACTCTTCAGCCAATCAGTGTTGGCCTCAGCAGCGGCTTTCTGTCCAAATGTCTTAATTCGATGCATGAATTCACAGCTGGAGCCACCACTGCTCGAAGCAAAGCCCTTATAACCAGAAGCTGAACTTGAAAGAATAACAGGGCTCATCCATAATAGCAGCAGAGCCTCCTCAGGCTCACTTCTTCAAGAATGAGATACAAAGAGAAACGTGATTATCATGAGTGCCACTGCATCAATCCCTGGAAATATCATGGGCTGTGTGCCTGATTGGCAGCCATATTGTGTTAATGAATAACAATACGATGTAGAAAGAAGGAGGCTATCGGCCAAGGGAACGACAGCTGTATGGCATTCTCCTTAATTAAGTTGAAGAGAGGCAGGGCGGGAACATAGTCATCGAGGAATGAAACCAGAGAGGCAGCAGAATGATGCAAAGTGAAGAGGGAGGGGGTGCAATTGAGGGATGACAGTTTGGATAAGGAAGAAAGAGGAAACCAACATGGGAGATGAAGTAGAAAGGTAAGAAAATCAGGCAATGGAGAGGTTAAAAAAAACCTTATTTTTAGGTCATTTATAACAGTCAAGAGAATTTAATCAGCATCTGGTTAATTAGTGTAGCAACCTCAGCCATTACTGCTCAGTCCTTAGGCTCAACCACATCCACACCTACATGTATCCACCCCACACATGCAGCACACACCTACAGCAGCGGGTCAACAGACACACACACTTAGATAATTGCAGGGTCATTCCTCTTTCTCTCTGCCTGGTATAATTGACCTTTTCCCCTCCTCACTTTTCTTAACAAAAAACCCTCAGAAAACTCATGTACATTTTTTTACAGAGAGAAGAAAACCAAGACTGAGCTTGAAGAAAGAAAAAAAAGTTGGAGGGAGAATGTATAGTGCTGACATAAGAAGAGTGCAAAAAGAGATTGATGATCTTAGGGCCGGTGGGAGAAAGGCATAGAAGAGACAGAGGAATTCCTACCAATAAATTACTCTTGAGCAGAAAGGGCAGTGTGTATGTCTGTGTAGATGCTTCTGTATGCCTTTGTGAGAGTTGTATATGTGTGTCCGTGGGCAATTATGTATTTGTGCTTAAGTATGCATGAACATGTGGTGTGGGTGTGTGTGCACAACCTTGCATGTATCTCAAAACAGGTATAGACTACCTAACACACTGTGGTTTCGTAGAGATTGTTTGATGAAGTGCCATGTTATTCTCTCTGAAAGTGCTGATGCACACACACAGACACACATGTCCGCAGCCTCACCTCCATCTCTCTTTTAGTTCTTGTCAGCCATTATTTTTGTCTTTAACAACAATATGAACTTGTCTTTCTACCTCTCTGCCTACCATTGTGTCTCATCCATTGATTTGGAGAATGTGTCAAGATCCAAGCTATTGTTTGGTATTGAATGAGACTGTACTTGCATGGCACTGTTCCGCTGGGAATGCATCTGTCACAGACAATGTCTCTGTCTCTCCTGCCATTGCACCATGGAAAATGTGTCAGTGATAGAAAATGTGTTCCTACATATACCAATTGCCTCACAGATGAATGTCAGTCTGCCAGGTGAAATTCTCTTGGCTCCCTGCTTAAAAGCATGTTTTTAAGCCATTCCAGACATCTTCTTTAGCCCCCCTCTGCCGGTATAAGGGTCCAGCAGAGAACGTCATTTGTCTGTGTCCTTATCACTTGTCAGGAGTCGAGATCAATTCTATTTTACACATACAGCTAATTTGGGGAAATAATTAGTAACATTTGTCTCTGGTACCTAAATGGCATCAGCCTCAATTGCAGATTAGCATGTTTGAAATAAGCCTTTCCTCTATTTCTTGTGCTTTACACCAGTGCTTCCACCCTCTAAACTCACTGTAAGAAATGAGGTGTCTGCGAGACATCCAATGATTCTTGAGCAGGAAGCTGAGGCAGAGCAGCCATGAAACTCAATTAATATTTAGCTGCCATAAAGCATGTGTCTGGTTTTAATGTGCAGTAGTGTCTTTACTATAAAACCCTGCAATGTCTGTGTTGAAATGTCACTGCATGTTGTAGATAATAGAATACGTTTGTGCTATCATATTCCCTGTGTGTCTTTAGATAATGTGTCAGTCACTACCACAGTCCTTCCCATTCCTACTACCACCCGAACAGTCACCTCCCACCCCACCACCCCAACCCTCCTAGCATCCCGCTTCATCCAGGAACCAAGAGGTAATGCCCACACCTTTTTTATTTTGCTTCTGCTGCCCTCCATCTCTCTCCTCGTCCTTCCCTGCTCTCCTTTGGCATCTTCTGCTCCCCTGTTCATTTGATGGCTCTCAGGTGCCCCGACACACACACTTTTGTGCTGCAACCTTCCTTTGTCCTGCATCTACATACACATAGGTGCCTGCAGATGCTCAGATATGCACTGTGCATAACTACCCACACTCTCTCCCTTTCTTATCTCTGGCTGTTTGATGTTCCCCATGCACATTGCTCAGTCTGCATTTGTGTACGTGTGTATATGTGTGTGAGTGGTCTGGGTGGGTCTCTTGGTACTTCATGGGTATTATTAATGAATCTCCATTAAGAGTTTAAGGAACTGGTGACACAGCCAGTCTGAAGCTGACTGACGCAGCCTCTAGAGTGCTAAGAAGATTCTACAAACATATACAGAAAGAGAGTGAAAGGAACAGACATCAGGGATCCAGGTGGTTGTCCAACCATTTTCTCCCAGATGAGTATTACACAGCAGGAGAAAGAAAGGCTGTTTAGCACTTCTCTGCTACCCTGAATGGGTGTGTGTGTGCGCGTTGTTAAACAACAGACTCTCTTTCACTAGTTTTTCTGTGTTTCCTTTTTATCTGGAGAATCTATTTATCTCATACATATAGTCGCACAAAAACATGCTCACTGGTATCTCTTCTCTCCTTCCACACCTTTAGCTGCTCTCTGTCTTTTCTCTGTTCCGTTAAAGGAGAGATGAGGCAAAGAGAGTGGGAGCATCCTTCTTGTTCTTCTGTTGCTGCTGTCTGTGGCAGGTAGAAGTTGTTCACCTGCTGGGCATGTGTGGAGATGTCATAAACAGTCTTGAACACTTTGGTGGCTGTTTAGTCAATGTTGATGTATCATCTGTGGGGCTCCTCGGAGAAACAACACACTTTTTAATACTGTCAGTCATTTCCTGTGGAGCTCTGGGCTGCTGTGGATAATAACAGGGTGGCATGAGGTAAAGGGAGAGCACTTGAGTGCATGGTTTTTCATCCCCTGTGAAATATTGCTTGGGCTTCTCACTTGATCCTATCATAGTCGAATCATACTTCCACACATACTTACTTTATCATATGCACACACACCAGTAAGCAGGAATAGGATCTCACAGTGCTCTATAAGATGTTTGTCCAAGAAATACATACACAAAAACACATCAGCTTTTCATCAGTTCTCTGTCCCTTCTCCTCTTTTGTTCCTTCATTGCCTCCATCACTCCCCTTTCTCTCCTGATCCCCATGTGTTAGTACTGCATCAATGATTCATGTTTTAATTTCTCACTGTCAAGGTCCAAGATCTCCATCGGTAACTCTGTGTCCTTGCCTCCTATTGGCCTTACATGCTCTTACACCTCATCACCCCAGCCACATCAAAAAACAAGCTTTTTGTTACTGTCAGCAACTCAGACGATGTCTCAGTATTTAAGTCTATAATCAGAGCTGGCTTTGCTGCTCAAATTTGTGCATTATCGACCATTTCTTTGTCTTGCTTAACATCCTGCCACTCTAACTATTAGCTGCTTTTATTGTTGCCAGCCAGTATTCGCTTGTGAAATATTAACCATTCACTTGCACACATTCAAATGAGCACAAGCTTTGTCCTAAGTGTTGCTATATGATCTGTATTAGGGCTGCAACTAAGAGTTAAGCTGTTGATTATATCTTTTTGACTAACTGATTAATTGCTTAAACCATAAGATGTCTGAAATTACTGAAAAATGAACATTGCAGTTAACCAGAACTCACAGGTGATGTCTTCATTTTGGTTGTTTTGACTGACCACCTGTTCCAGTACTCAGATTAATCAATTATAAGTGGTATAAAACAAAAAAATTGTAAATCCTTATATTTGAGAAGCTGGAACCAAAGAGCATTTTGTCTTTTTGCCTAATAAATGATTCAAACAATTAATAAATAATTAAAAATGTGATTGCCGTTTAATGCTTTTTTAAAAATTGTTCTCAGTTTAGTAACTGCTTAATCAACTGGTCATTTCAACATTAACCTGCAGTTTCTTTCACTATTCCTCTGTTTTTGTTTTTATTTTTACTTGTATAAAGTTGGTAGAAGGTAAGGTCTTATGCAGGCTGTAGCTAGCGAAGTGTACTCAACTGCACAAGTTGTCTTTATGAATGTAAACGTAGAATTTTTCCATAATGAGATCAAGTCTGTGCTGCATGACCGTCAACCTGCTCCTACCTCTTTGCCAACTGCTTACGTTGTTTAAAGGTGATGTTTACATGAATAATTTCTTACCACTAAAATGTCACAGAATGTAGATACTTTTTCTTCACTTGTATCATGTGGTGAAGTGTTTGATTTCATTTCCCAGGGCTGCATTACTTGGGATATAAACACACTCAGTGTTTCCCTCATTCAAAATGCATTGTGCTCTTCACAGGTGCTTGGCTGGAGTGGGTGTTTTGAGACTCATATTCTTTTTTTTTAGTCACTCTGCCCATTTCCACACCTTTTTCTTGCCCATTCTAACTATCTGGCATTCTGTTAGGTGGGGAAAGATAAAAGGTGATAATGCAAGTTGAGTGGAAGATACTGACTTCTCTGATTGATTTGATTTGATTTATTCTTTTAAGCATGTAAAGACAGTTGATATGTCAACACACATAATTTTACACATATCCAACAAATGCTAATCCAATATCAATCCCAAATACCATAAATTTAGTTTTATCCAAATTCAGAGATAGTATATTACTATCACACCATTTCTTTATCTTCTCAAGTTCCTGTGAAACCCGTCCAGAGAGTAGCTGTAGGTTTTCACCCAATGCCCATATGGTAGTGTCATCAGCAAACAAAACCACTTTCACTAAATCAGAAACCTTGCATATATCGTTAATGTATAATCTAAATAATTTAGGTACCAAAACAGAACCCTGAGGCACTCCACATACAATATCCAGCTCACTCGATTGGTATTCACCCAACTTCACAAATTGACACCTCTGTGTCAAATAACTTTTAATCCATTTCAGAACCATTCCTCTGATCCCATATTTTTCTAACTTATCCATTAATAGTTCATGATTAATTGTATCAAATGCTTTTTTTAAGTCAATAAATATCCCCATCGTATATTTTTTCTCATCC